TTGACGCCGCTAAGCACCGAAGTACTGCAAATCAGGCTCCAATTCACGGCGTTTACTGTGGCCCGATCACAGTGAACACTGTAACCGAGATCACAGTGAACGCCGTGAACTAGTTCACAGCAAACGCCGTGAATTGCATAACAGCAAACATTGGTAATAAATTAACGGCGTTGACAGGACATTTTTTGTAGAGTGTATACACGGTATAACATGCATGAGTGCATGCTTGGCCGGCATGCGCTTGTTGGAGCGTACTTGCAGACATGCTCCAGTTAAGGAAGTTCTTTGACCGTCTGCGGGGGTGTTGCGGGGCGAGGGGGGCTCCATAAGGAAGCATTAGCCATACCAACCGCTGTCATTGAAACGCGCCGCACAGGGTTTGAAGGGAACAGTGTTCTTTGGCACTTCTAACCATGATAGATTTGCGCAGATTAGTGCTCATAGTGCAACTGCACCTTCTAATCGTGTCTACTCGAGTTCTTTTTATTCCGAAACGCCAATCATTTGAGCGTAATTTGAGCGTTCGATTCGCCGTAGGTACATAATTTGTGCGTCAAAACTAAAGCGTGTATCTAGAAATGTATTTTGGTGATGCCAAATTCACGCTGGCATAGCCACTTGACGCACAAATAAAAAGCTACAAGCCAATAATTTGAGCGTAATTTGAGCGTTCGATTGCCAAGTACCGTGAAATTTGTGCGGCAATACAAGTATGAGAAATTCAGCTTCTCCATTCCGCCGTACCTGCAGGGCTAGCGTGAAGTTGGCATAGCCACTTCGACCTGTCCAAATTCCGACCACACCATTTTTTTCAGCAGAATTTGAGCGTTCGGATGGTCATACGCGCATAATTTGTGCGTCAAAACTAAAGCGTGTATCTAGAAATGTATTTTGGTGATGCCAAATTCACGCTGGCATAGCCACTTGACGCACAAATAAAAAGCTACAAGCCAATAATTTGAGCGTAATTTGAGCGTTCGATTGCCAAGTACCGTGAAATTTGTGCGGCAATACAAGTATGAGAAATTCAGCTTCTCTATTCCGCCGTACTTGCAGGGCTAGCGTGAAGTTGGCATAGCCACTTCGACCTGTCCAAATTCAGACCACACCATTTTCTTCGGCAGAATTTGAGCGTTCGAATGTTCATACGCGCATAATTTGTGCATTGAAACTAAAGCGTGTATCTAGAAATGTATTTTGGTGATGCCAAATTCACGCTGGCATAGCCACTTGACGCACAAATAAAAAGCTACACGCCAATAATTTGAGCGTAATTTGAGCGTTCGATTGCCAAGTACCGTGAAATTTGTGCGGCAATACAAGTATGAGAAATTCAGCTTCTCCATTCCGCCGTACCTGCAGGGCTAGCGTGAAGTTGGCATAGCCACTTCGACCTGTCCAGATTCTGACCACACCTTTTTTTTCAGCAGAATTTGAGCGTTTGATTCGCCATAGGTACATAATTTGTGCGTCGAAACTAAAGCGTGTATCTAGAAATATAGTGATTCCAAATTCACGCTGGGATAGCCACTTGACGCACAATTAAAAAACTATACGCCAATAATTTGAGCGTAATTTGAGCGTTCGATTCGCCATAGGTACATAATTTGTGCGTCGAAACAAAAGCGTGTATCTAGAAATATATTGTGGTGATGCCACATTCACGCTGGCATAGCCACTTGACGCACAAATAAAAAGCTGTACGCCAATAATTTGAGCGTAATTTGAGCGTTCGATTGCCAAGTACCGCAAAATTAGTGCGGCAATACAAGTATGAGAAATCCAGCTGTGTGTTGGCCGGACCTGGCCGGGTGTTGGCCCGCTGGCCGGGGCTTGGCCTTCGTCTAGGGAGCTATTGGGATTTTAGGCACTGTGGCAAAAAGCTACAGAAATTTCTGTAAACAGCTTGTGGTAATTCTCCGTAGCCCCCTTTTAATATTCTCCGTAGGCTCTTACAGTTTTTTTCCGCAGGACCGCACCGTATTCTCCGTAAGACCTTACAGTGATCTCCGTAGGACTATACAGTCTTCCAGGTCCTACGGAGAAGACTGTGCGGACTTACAGAGAATACTGTACGGCCCTACGGAGAATACTGTAAGAGCCTACGGAGAATATTGATAAGAGGGCTACGGAGAATCCTGGCAAAAAAATTAACAGAATTTTCCGTACCTTTTTGCCACAGTGGGTGGCAATAAATTGTGGTGAAAGTGTCTTGACAAAGAGTTCAGGCCTTGAAGTTGTTATGGGACTATAATTGGGACTATACATGGGAGTCTCTTATCCTCTGATATTTTCGAGGCATATTTTGTAAAGTAAAAAAAATGGATCAGGAGAAGTTAAAACCGCATAACAAAGCATCTCTTTACAACACCCTAAGGACACCCTAAGGACAGGTGATGTCAGGAACCGGGTCAGACAACTCCTACACTGAGAATGAATTGGTCACCACCATCACCCTTTAAATGGGCGATGCAACTTCGTTGCCCAAATTTTGGTGACGAAAAATTCATCACCCGAAATTTGGTAACATGCGTTTGGTTGCTCAAATTTGGGTAACGCCGTCGGCGACGCCGTGAGGTTCCCGATGACGTCACCACGATGACCAGTGGACTCAACGCCCCATTGGGTCATCGTGGTGGCCCCGGAAGTACGTCATCGGGGATCTCACGGCGTCGCCGACGACGTTACCCAAATTCAGGCGACGATTTTTTGACTGCCCAAAATTTGGTCACCGTGGGCTCGTCACCCAAATTTGGGCAACGGTGCGTGCGTTACCCACTGAAAGGGCGATGGTGGTGACTCTTTCATTCTCAGTGTTTGCAGAGTTATTCTCAACTTCCGTTTTCGCTTTTATCCGATGTACCCTACTGAAATGCCTGTGTCAAACCGCGTGATTACCTGCACTCGCATTGACCTCAATGACCGTCACGACTTCACTTCTAGTTTCTTTCCCGTAGCGTCCTAACCACTAATAGCATAGCGCCTAGTCATGCACTGTAAAAAATTTTGACACGAAATTTCGTGTTGTGGCTAGTGAAACGCCCCTTCTTAGTTATACTTTAAATGAATTTCGTGTGCCAGTGGCAATGAAATTTCGTTCGCCATGGCACACGAAATTTTGATGGCCACTGGCGATCAGAAGGCTTCTTTCCTACGCCAAATGGCAATTTTTGAGTCGTGGCGCTGGAAAGGATGCTCGGAACCAATATTGTGAACTTTCAAGTTGTGGCGAGGAGAATTCGTCTCGGGCCTATGAAAAAAGCGGCACGAGCGGTCGGCATAGAACCCGAAACTTCAACTTGGATGTCTTGTGCCCTGACCCCTCGGCCACCGCACCACTGCTTGGCAGAGCGCTCGACGGAGCTTCATCATGGACTCGCGAGGACTAGTCTGGCCACCACCAGGTGTGGCGAAGCAAAGCATGCTTCCCTTAGCCACGACTTGAAATTTCATAACTGTCGTCTGGGTAGGATGCCTTTTCAGTGCCACACCTATGATTTTTCTTCGCCAAGGGGCTGTCAAATTTAAAGTCGTGGCTGAGGGAAGCATCGTTTTGTTAGCCAAGCGGTAAATTTCACATTTCGACTTGGAATTTCATGAGCCACTGGCTCTACAAATTCACTGTCGCGGTTTGGAAAGTGACCTTTCCATAGCCAGTGGCGCTTTAAAAACACTTTCGTGTCTGGCTAAGAAAATTCAAGAAGCCATTGGCTACATAAATTTAAAGATATTTTTTACAGTGTGGATTGCGTAAGGGATTTTGGATTTGTAAGGGAGATCAAGAATCCACCTCACCACGCCCCTTTGCCCTAATTTCACACACGCACTGGTGCAACACAGGCCACTTACCGAGACCGCTGTTCATGAGACATTATGATACTCATAACCTAAGAGAACGTTAAACACCCTCAGGACGCAAATCAGATAAGTACATCAAAAGCCATCACTGAGAATGAAAGAGTCACCACCATCGCCCTTTCAGTGGGTAACGCACGCACCGTTGCCCAAATTTGGGTGACGAGCCCACGGTGCCCAAAATTTTTGGGCAGTCAAAAAATCGTCGCCTGAATTTGGGTAACGTCGTCGGCGACGCCGTGAGATCCCCGATGACGTACTTCCGGGGCCACCACGATGACCCAATGGGGCGTTGAGTCCACTGGTCATCGTGGTGACGTCATCTGGAACCTCACGGCGTCGCCGACGGCGTTACCCAAATTTGAGCAACCAAACGCATGTTACCAAATTTCGGGTGATGAATTTTTCGTCCTCAAAATTTGGGCAACGAAGTTGCATCGCCCATTTAAAGGGTGATGGTGGTGACCAATTCATTCTCAGTGAACTCAAGAGTGTACTCAGTACACTCTAGTTAGACTGTGCTCATGAGTACACTCTAACTAGCGTGTACTCAGATGAGTACACACTTTCAGCTGCATAAATTGCCAGGCGTGCTTAGGTGTGTACTCATCTGAGTACACGCTAGTTAGAGTGTACTCATGAGCACACTCTAACTAGAGTGTACTGCAGAGAAATCAAGAACAAGGTATGAGAAATTCCTGATAATGAGCGTTTGCGTCGCCGTTCTGCCACTTCCGCAGAGCGATATTCTCATACAAGTTCGGCTATTGTTCTTCTTGATTTTTTTTCAACTTCCGTTCTATCTCTTCTCCGAGGTACCCTTTTGCAAGATACGAATTTACTGTTCGGACGGCTGAATGCCGAGTGCGAGAAAGGCTATTGTAACGAATAGGGTATTCCAATGCTCTTCCAGAACGGAAGTGAGAGATGACAGTTTTGATGAGAAATCTACGCTGCGAAGTTCATCCGCCGCGTAGATTTCGCATATTAACTACCATTTTTGACTGCTGTTGTCTTTCTCCTCACTTCCGTTCTGGGAGGGCGTTGGAATACCCTATCCCCTGAACCGGAAGTCAACGAACAAAAGTGAGTCCCATCCATCACTTCTGCGCATACGCACACGTCCCCCCTCCAGTCAGAGTTTCTAACGAACCAGCCTTTGCTTAGAAGCGGTTATTATTCTTATGTTCACTGACTTCCGGTCCAGGGATTTGTTGAAATAACCTAATTAGAAAGCTCTCCGTACCTTCCCTTTAATCGTTCTTCTGTACCAAGATCGTCTTAATCATCTTCTAGTAGGGTATTTTCGAGGATCGTGGAACGGATGTCAACATACGACGCCACGGGATCTTAAAGTAGTACCAAGTGGTACAAATTCTGATGCAGGAACTCAAATGCATATCTATTTAGTTTTAATGGTTATTCTGTTAAAATTTTGACCGAGGGGTATGCACTCTCAAAATCAGTGACCCGACCATTACGTCTATTATGCCTCAAAATTTCAGAGACTTAGCTTCAAATAGCCCAAAACAACCGGCAAAATCCTGAAAATTTCGGCTGTTACGCTATTATTGCGCGAACTATTATTGCGCGCGCTTTTACGGAAAGAGTGACCCGACTATTACACGAGTGCATACCCCCTCGATTGCGACCTGCAGATCCGAGTTTCGTTTTGTTTTCATGTCACGTTATGGCGAACATTGTGACTGTTGACTTCCGACTGCCGATGCAGGATCTCTGAATGTACCCTATTCCGTTTTCCTTCAGTCGTAAGTGGCTTCGTTTTAGTTCATAGGTCTCTTTCACGTTACACGCAAGCGGCTTATCATCGTGACCCTCAGAGTGAATGAAAATGGAACGAATTCCCGACTTCGCGTTGCTGAGCGTGTTCCGGTGGCTGGATGCGAAGGACCTGCTGGTTGCCCGCACCGTCTGCCACCAGTGGAGAACCATTGGCGACCGCTGGTACGCCTGGAAGAACGTGCTCATCAGCGACGTCTTCGCTGGAAGGCAGCTCTTCGAGGTAACTATAACCTACAGCTTTTCGAGGCTATTCTTGTCCGATTGTTTGGGGACAGTCGTAAAGCGCACTGTTCAGTGCACTCTAGAGTTCTTGCGGATAAGTCATCACCGTAAGCTACGGACAAAATTGATTCATTGTGATTCCGGATGGGCTTGTCCATATTACGGAGTTTGACATCTGTATTACGGATGAAAAGGATCTTCTGGTTTTGAGAATTTCGGTACGGACGATATTATCCGTTAATACAAACTCAACTATTGATCCATAATTACGGCTACTACACCCATCCGTATTATCAACTCAACTTGTCCGTAATCCTGATCTGAACCTATCAATCCATACTTTCATTAACTTAACTTCAATATGAAGAATAATAAGGTGAAATATAGTTTCATTAGTTTTCAAAATAAGAAAAGTACTTTTCATGTATCACATTTTGAATTTTTGTAATTAAAAAAAAAAACATTTTTGTCATTTTTTGTCGAACTTTTTTCTACTTGGACTCGGAACAAGGCTTGATATTGATAAACCCATAATAAAATCTGTCGACAAGTCACCAAAGAATAAATTCTTCGCAAAACGACTCATGTTTGTCTAGACCAAGAACGCAAGAAGACTTTTTACCCCCAGATTCTATGTCAACTAAATATGGCAATGAAGTGAAACGTATTACCTAATGACATAACTGACCTAAATGATTAAGAAATTGGCCGCTTAACATTATTGTTGAAAACCCTGAATCTGAAGCCTGTCAAGCACATTTTAAGCTTGAAACATGGAAATCACTAGTTCTGCCAATTTTGGCTGTATCTTCACTAGGGTCCCCCCACCCCCCAGCGGGATTCACCTGACTGAAAGAGATTTAAGCAAAATCATACCTGTTGGGAAAATTCTTCCGAAAAGTGACTGAGCCCTTGTGGATCTCTATCCGGAAAAATACTTTTAAAAAAGTAGTATTCTTCCGAATAGTGTTTTTAGCAGCCCGAAACCTTATTCGGAGGAAAGCTTTCTTCCGGATAGTCACAACCACAGCGGAGTGGGAGAAGAGGTCCATTTAGAGGAAGGACCGTGTGGAAAATACTTCAAAAGCGTTTGCGTTTCTATTTTCAGGCTGTGCTTCGCGTGGCGCCGTGTGTCGGCGTAATGTCAGTCACCCTTGACTACCCCCACCCAAGTTTGGTGACGACCTCTTGCGCCACCAGAAGCCTCACCCTCTCCGTGTGGGACGACCGCGCATTCATGGCATGGCGGGTACTGAAACATCAGGTAGGCGGTTGGGTCTTCTGACTAGGTGGTCAAAAAACATATTTTTGTAGTCGTATTAGAAATTTTTGAACGTTTAAGGGAGGGTGGGGCAGTTCGTCGCGGGGGCAGTTCGTAACAACCACCCATATTTACGCAATGAGGGATCCTGAAGGAAATGTGAGCGTGAACCATCTTTCCTTTTAAGGGGGGCGGGAACGCCAGAAATGGTGATTTAATGCAAAATTTTGAATTTATGAATTTTAGTTAGTTTTGACCTGAAAACCTTTACTTACCAAGTTTTTGAAAAAGGTCTGAATACGTCACAATATATTAAATTGTTATAATAATAGGATGAATACATCACTATTCGTTGTCAAAAACATCGTTAACTCTTCGTCTGACAGAATTTTCACATGCAACGTAACTGGTTTGGAAGTCAGTACGGGTGAAAGTGCGCTACCATTGATATCGGTCAAAACTTAAATTTCCATGTCACGGGAGTATCCGTCTGGGCTTCCCCGGTAAATGATCATCCCCGGGCACTTGTTTCATATTTTGGCATCATATTTTACGGACGCAACGCACCCTCGGACATTAACGTAGCCCTGACCGAGCCTAGCGGGGAGCAGCATGAGTTTCTTCGTGCTCCCTGCGGCAGTTTGTGACAGATTCGGACGGGGCACTTAGCAACAAAGCGAAATCCCTTAAAATGAACATTTAAAATGCGGAAGCATGCGTAATGGTAACACTTTGTGATTATAGAATGGATTAATGGAAATTTTTCTATTTGAGCCATAAGTTCCATCTAAATGCAACAGTTATGGATCGTTGGACATTGAAGACCTTAGACGTTGTAAAACGTCCTTATTTTCACTCAGAACCAAAAACATGTGTTAGCATCTTTTGTTCGCATTTTGCAAAATGAACCTTTTTCACGCTCACATTATAATGGAAAATGCTAAAGAAAGCCACGACAACACTTTCATGTCAAGGTCTATTTAAGTACTTTTTCGTTTTTAGTGCAGCTCTTACTGGCCTTTGTTGACTGCTATGTGATTGTTACAAACTGCCCCACTGCTGTTACGAACTGCCCCGGCCCTGGGCAGTTTGTATATGCAAGGGTTTGAATTGCGCCCTATAATTTTCGTCGAACGAACTTGTGAGCGTCTGCTGGCGTTCTCTAGTCTACGTCAGACGTATTGAGGTCAGACTCAATTTAGTACAAAAACACGGCTGATAGACAAACGATTATGATCTCTATGTTCCAAATTCTGTTACAAACTGCCCCACCCTCCCTTACCTTCGTTTACATACGGCTTCAAAATGTAAGGTGTTTTAATCCAATTTTTCGTAAGGGAGTAAAAGGAGACGCAACAAAAGTTAACAAAACATACCAAATTTCACTGCGCGCAATTTTCCTCCGGAAGTTCTTAACTTTTTGACAATCGGTTTCCGGCATCTTTTTTTTATTGAGGATTGCTGGCAACCGTTTTTCGACCTTTGTCGACTTTGGTTTTACTATCATCTGTCTTCGGTGTCGTCTAATGATTGTGTCACGATCTTTCCGCTGACATTTCTCGTGTCTTTTTATTTTAGATGGAGCTAGGATATCTTCGTGAGCTGCGGGTTCACATGCATGGCGACACAGCAAAGTTTCAGAAGCTGATGAGAGAAATCTGCGCGGCCAGAGGTCTCGAGAAGATCACTCTGCAAAACTACAGGTAGTTATCAACTAAAGAAGGATAATTCTGTACGAATATCATTTAACATACCTTTAATACGCCATACATGGGGTTTAAGGGGAGGTTCTGGTGAAAATGCTATTTTCTCCTAGATAGGTCCCACTGTGAAAATTAGTTAAAAATTTGATGTCTTACCAAGTAATTATTAAAAATTTTCAATGGGGACTCACATTCTATGCCCTGAACCCAGTCGCAGAGCCTTTTTCTCCTATTTAGGCTATAACTTTATAAATCTTCATGCGCATACTATTTTGTTGTAAAAGGTTGGCCTAGACATTTTTCACTTCTTCAATTCATTTTTAAAAGATGCCGGCATGCACAACTCAAAATGTAAATTACATTTTCATTCGCAAGCTTTCTAACCAATCATTTCACTATAATTGATCAAAAATGTATAAAATAGACAAATTTTAGGGACTTTTCAGCTTAAAAAGCTTACAGGTAATAATATAATGGAAATTTTGAGCTATGCATGCCGGAATTTTTTGAAAATGAATCGAAGAAGTGAAAAATGTCAAGGTCAACCTTTTACAACAAAATAGTATGCGCAAGGAGATTTTTAAAGATACAGCCAAAATAGG